TATATATATTCAAAGGAACATTTATATATGTTTGCCAAATGACCTATTCAAAAAAATTCATAGAGATACTATTTTTTAAGAGTCCTAAACTGCAAAAAACCTACATATTTCTCAAGTGGACAGTCAACAAATAAATTGTGTCATATTTATCCAGTGAAAGATTATACACCAACAATAATAAATGAACTACAAATATTTACATTGTTGAATGTCACAATCATAATTTAAAGGAAAGCCAATTCTATAATCTTTCATTTCTATAAAGATCTAAAAGAGTGAAACCAACCTATAGGGTGACAGGTCAAGAGAGTGATTAGCAACCATTGGGGATGAATAAGGAGGTATGATTTGGAGTAAAGTTCATTTCTATTTCTTTTTTTTTTTTTTAAATATATATTTCTTTATTGATTTCAGAGAGGAAGGGAGAAGGAGAGAGAGAGAGAGAGATAGAAACATCAATGATGAGAGAGAATCATTGATTGGCTGCCTCCTGCACACCCACTACTGGGGATCGAGCCCGCAACCCAGGCATGTGCCCTTGGCCGGAATCGAACCTGGGACCGAGTGATTAGCAACCATTGGGGCTCTATCCACTGAGCCAAGCCGGCTAGGGCTCATTTCTATTTCTTAAGCTGATAGTATTACCACTGGTCTGTTCATTTCGTAATAATCTGTCAAGCTGGAAATTAATCATTTGCATACTTTTAAAATTAATAGTATATCTAAAAAAGTTTAAACATATTAGACCTCAAAAATAAACCAGGTAACATCTCAACTAATCTAAAACTTCATAAACTGAGAGAGAGAGGGGCAGGGAGAGAGAAAGAGAATTATAAGAAAATGAGAAAAAAAGGAACCACAGTAAATGTGTAGTCAGTGACATGAGGTCACTGAATCTGCAGGTTAACAAGGTTAGGACTGGAGTCACCAACTCATTCTGGTTTGCCCAAACTGCCCCAGTCACACCCTGGGGAGTCCCGCATCCTGGGAAACCCCTTAGTATGGGGAAATCAGGACCATTGGTCACCCAGGAAGTGAAATGATTGATGCTTTCTTAGTCCCAGCTTCTGTTTCCTCCTACCTGCTTTGGTTCTGCTGTGCATATGCAAGAGATTATGCCAAACATCCTCTACCCAAGTGTCTGTGATCCAACCTGGATACACAGGTGGGATGGGTTGTTCCAGAGAGATACCTGTCACAGTCTTGAATCAGGCTTTTGTGGGCAAACAGACTTGAACTCAGGACTCAGGAGTCAATTTAACCCCATGAACATATCAGCATCATATCCCTCACACAGGGATACTTCCGAATCAAAGCACAGCCGAATACACAAAACACATGTACTGGCCCTCAGGATGCCATGAGGGACTCTATCATATGACCACAATATGACCAGAGCAGGAATGATTATGTAACCACCTTCCTTTTATCTGAAAAAGTTTCTGTGAGTTACTCTCAATTAGGGAACACATTAAACACTTATTTCTTAAAGATTCATATCACGTAGGGAACAATTTCCTCCTTGACAATTTCCCTGTAGTTACCAAAACAACATAAACAAAAACAAGGAAAGTCTTACTGATTGGTCCCAACATTGGGGGGCCCAGTGTATAAAAACCCCAGAACGGAAGAAGTCCTCAGAATCTGAAAAACTCACCTCTGAACATAAACTTACCTTCTACACCTGACACCATGTGCTGCTCCCCTTGCTGCCAGCCCAGCTGCTGTGGATCCAGCTGTTGTGGATCCAGCTGCTGCTGCCGCCCATGCTGTGTGTCCAGCTGCTGCCAGCCTTGCTGCCGCCCATGCTGTGGGTCCAGCTGCTGCCGGCCCTGCTGCAGCCCATGCTGTGGGTCCAGCTGCTGCCAGCCATGCTGCCGCCCATGCTGTGGATCCAGCTGCTGCCAGCCTTGCTGCCGCCCATGCTGTGTGTCCAGCTGCTGCCAGCCTTGCTGCCGCCCATGCTGTGGATCCAGCTGCTGCCAGCCTGGCTGCTGTCCAAAATGGTGTCAGACCACCTGCTGTAAAACCACCTGCTGCCGGCCCAGCTGCTGCTGCCGCCCTTGCTGTGTGTCCAGCTGCTGCCAGCCTTCCTGCTGCTGATCATCTTGTCAAAGAACCACCATCTTCATAAATCATCAGTTAACTGACCTGCCATTTTGGAAACAAATGCATTTCCTTGACTTGGCTGACAACCGGCATACGGTACCTTAATTTCTGTGACTCATGTGCCTGATACAAGCCTCTGAATCAGCTGGATGGAGAGCAGAGGACGTCCCCAATTCTCTTCCTGCCGCGTGTGTGGAACATGTGTCAGCTTCGTGTCCTCGATATGGAGCTATGGTCTCTGCTTTGACTCCGTAGTCCAGGTCTTCATCCTCTGTGTTACTTAGAAAAGGGAATTCTTGTAACTGCTACATAGGTTTCCTGCAACTGCAGAAAATCTTCTCAGTCCTGTTTTCTTTTCCCATGCACTCCTGCTTTCTTCTTCCACAGTTCTTCCACAGTCACTCTGAGTTGGCTCCCTAGATACAGAAAGTTGTACCTCTATTTCTTAATAAAGTCTGTTCATTCCATTATAAATCCTGATGTAAGGATTTGCACACCTGTTACACATCATATGCACGATCCATTCTGAGCTTCATACAGTCCACCCAAAATAATTATCTCCATTCTTCATATGAGAACATCTCACTTGGTCATGTTAGGTAGCTGATTTGGACAGACTCAGACCCAAGACTGTATCTTTTGCATTAGTGCTCAATGGCACTTAAGTTTCTATCTCAAGACAAATCAGAAAAAGGCCTGGACTGAGCACCAGCAAGATGTTAATTTGAGTGTCTCTGACAGTGGAAGTGATATTCTCTTGTATGTATATGCACATAACACCTATTTACAAAGTTCTTCCCAAATCAGTGTCCACACCTCAGCTACATAGTAGGGCAGCAAGGCCTGCAGTTTACAGCTCTCCTGCATGAATGATCCTTTCCTGACTCAGGTGCTGTCCAGCCACTCACGCTCTCATGGGTATCCAATATTTGGGAATATCCAGTATGTCCTCATGAGAAAGAGGCTCCTCTAAAGAGATTTGTTCTTCGCTTTCATGTAAATAAAAATTCTTGGATAACCTCCATCCTCTGAGTTACCTATAGACTAGAATAAAAAGGAATAAAGTCATTTCCTGCAGAACATTTCCCAACTTTAAGGCAACTTGTCATTCTGATCAGAATCTTAGCAAGAGAAGTTAGTTGGGACCTGAGAAATAAGCAACAGGCATGTATGACTTTGAGGAATTCATGAAACCTGAACCTCCTTTGGAAACAGAACCATCTCCTGTGTATTGTGAGTCAACTCTGAAGCATTTGAGAGAAATAAAAACCTGGGTTCTAGGGGAACATAAATAATGTGAGAAAGAAGAAAAGTCAAGGAGCCTGAGCATTCCCTCTAACATGCTGGACAGAGGCTGCTCTGTGGTCCTGAACTAACAATGCTGCCTGAACATACATTGAGGCAAGGCTTGAGACTGGGTCTGAGAGAAGTAGAAGAGTCTGGAACCTGGATCACCTCCTTGGGAGCAGTAGTGGTGCCTCTGATGAGCTCACCAAGCAGGTATCAAGGACACGTGCTCCCTTCTGAGACTGTGCATCAGGGATGCTCAGAAGAGAGTTCCAAGACCAAACTTATGGACTGCTGGTCCTTGATGGGTGTTTGGGTGATTAAAATGAGAAACTAGCATGTTCTGGGGGATTTACTATTTTCTGGGTATGCCCTCAGTGCTTCATCTACGTATCTTTAATTCTTGAAGCAAGTTTCAATGCAAGTATAAATGTTTCCATTTTAAGATGAGGATATTGAGACTGAGGAGGCAAAGAAATGTCATAGTTTGGTTTCTCTCAGAAGGCACTCTGAAGAAAAGATTCAAGCGCATGTAGTTGACTTGGAAAGCACAGGTGTCACTGGTTGGGGAGTGTGGACGTGATACAGGAAAGGGGCATATAAGCCAGTATCATTGTGGCCAACTGCAGCTTATGCCTAAGAGGAAATACCAGAAATGATGGAAGCACATGCTTTAGGATTACCCAACTGAGCTGCCTCCTTATAACCCTATTATAACCCTATCCAGAAGCAGTGAATGGGACACACACAGGCAGCATGACTTCTGTTGTTGCAAGAAAACAGCCCTGAGGTCTCAGTGGATAGAGCATCGGCCTGCGGACTGAAGGGTCCCAGGTTTGATTCTGGTCAAGGGCATGTACCTTGGTTGTGGGCACCTCCCCAGTAGGGAGTGTGCAGGAAGCAGCTGAATTCTCTCTCTCTCTCTCTCTCTCTCTCTCTCTCTCCCTTCCTCTCTGTAAAAACACAATAAAATATATTTTTTTTAAAAAGAGAACAGCCCTGAGGCATGGAGATGCAGTCTACTGGCAGAAATGGGCCTGAACACACGAAGATCCAAGATCCATGCGCTGGGACTTCAAAATCCCATCTACAATCTGTGATTTTCTCCACTAGCATACAGTATTGTATTATTCAGTGTAGACACACACTTTCTAGAAAAGAGGACAGAGTAAGAAGAAGAGGTAGTGCTGGTGAAGAAGGAGATGGAGAAGGTAGAGAGGATGAGGGGTAGGAACAGGTGAGGGAGAGAGAAAGAAGAAGAAAAAAGAAGAGGAGGAAGAAGAGAGGGAGAAGAAAAAGGAAGGAAGGAGGAGGTAGAGAAGGAGGAAAAGGGAGAGAGAAGATGAAAGAAAAAGGAAGGAAGAAGAGAAGGGATCAAAGAAAATGAGAAAGAAAGAAAAAAGAAAACATAGTAATTGTGTAGTAACTGACCTGAAGTCACCGAATCTGCTGGTTAACAAGGTTAGGACTGGCGTCACCAACTCATCCTGGTTTGCCCAAACTGCCCCAGTCACAACCCTGGGGAACACCGCATCCTGGGAAACCCTTTTTAGTCCTGGGCAATCAGGGCTCTTGTCACCCAGGAAGTGAAATGATTGATGCCTTCTCCGTCCCAGCTTCTGCTTCCACCTACCTGCTTTGGTCCTGCTGTGCATATGGAAGAGATTAGGCCAAACATCCTCTACCCAAGTGTCTGTGATCCAACCTGGATACACAGGTGAGGTGGGTTGCTCCAGAGAGAGATTCCTGTCACAGTCTTGAATCAGGCTTTGGAGGCAAACAGACTTGGACTCGGGCATGGTGTCAATTTTACCCTTGAACATACCAGCATCATGTCGTTTAAACAGGGATCCTTCCAAAACTAAGTAAAGCTGAATACACAAAACACATATACTGACTCTCAAGAGGCCAAGAGGGACTCTGTCATATGACCAGAATATGATCTAAGCAGGAACCATCCTGATGATGGAACCACCTTCCCTTTACCTGAAAACGTTTCTATGACTTATTCTCAATTAAGGAACACATTAAACACTTACTTTCTAAACATTCATATCAGGTAGGAAACAACCGCATCTTTGCCTATTTCCCTGTGGTTACCAAAACAACATAAACAAAGACAAGGAAAGTCTTACTGATTGGTCCCAACATTGGGGGCCCAGTGTATAAAAACCCCAGAACGGAAGAAGTCCTCAGAATCTGACAAACTCACCTCTGAACAGAAACTCACCTTCTACACCTGACACCATGTGCTGCTCCCCTTGCTGCCAGCCCACCTGCTCTGGGTCCAGCTGTTGCCGACCCAACTGCTGCTGCCGCCCATGCTGTGTGTCTAGCTGCTGCCAGCCTTGCTGCAGCCCATGCTGTGGATCTAGCTGCTGCCAGCCTTGCTGCCGCCCATGCTGTGGGTCTAGCTGCTGCCAGCCTTGCTGCCGCCCATGCTGTGTGTCCAGCTGCTGCCAGCCTTGCTGCCGCCCATGCTGTGGATCCAGCTGCTGCCAGCCTTGCTGCCGCCCATGCTGTGGATCCAGCTGCTGCCAGCCTTGCTGCCGCCCATGCTGTGGGTCTAGCTGCTGCCAGCCTTGCTGCCGCCCATGCTGTGGATCCAGCTGCTGCCAGCCTTGCTGCCGCCCATGCTGTGGATCCAGCTGCTGCCAGCCTTGCTGCCGCCCATGCTGTGGATCCAGCTGCTGCCAGCCTTGCTGCTGTCCAAAATGGTGTCAGACCACCTGCTGTAAAACCACCTGCTGCCGGCCCAGCTGCTGCTGCCGCCCTTGCTGTGTGTCCAGCTGCTGCCAGCCTTGCTGCTGCTGATCACCTTGTCAAAGAACCACCATCTTCATAAACCATCAGTTAACTGACTCACCATGTTGGAAACAAATGCATTTCCTTGACTTGGTTGACAACCAGGATGCGGTACCTTAATTTCTGTGACTCGTGTGCCTGATACAAACTTCTAAATCAGCTGGATGGAGAGCAGAGGACGTCCCCAATCCTCTTCCTCCCGCGTGTGTGGATCATATGCCAGCTTCCTGCATCCTCGACATGGAGCTATGGTCTCTGCTTTGACTCCGTAGTCCAGGTCGTCATCCTCTGAGTAACTTAGAAAAAGGAATTCTTGTAACTGTTACATAGGTTTTCTACAACTGCTGAAAATCTTCTCAGTCCTGTTTTCTTTTCCCATGCACTCCTGGTTCCTGTAATCCTGCTTTTCTTCCACAGTCACTCTGAGTTGGCTTCCTGGTTACAGGAAGTTGTACCTCATATTTCTTAATAAATTCTGTGGATTCCATATTGCATTTGGTTTTATTGTACAGCGTCCTGGTGGATGGATTTAACCAGCACTACCTTACATGTTGCTCATCATATGCATAATTCATTCTGAGCTTCATATAGTCCCCCCAAAATAATTATCTCCATTCCTCACATGAGAACATTTCACATGGTCATGTTAGGTAGCTGGTTTGGACAGACTCAGACCTAAGACTGTATCTTTTGCATTAGTGCTCAATGGCACTTAAGTTTCTATCTCAAGACAAATCAGAAAAAGGCCTGGACTGAGCACCAGCAAGATGTTAATTTGAGTGTCTCCGACAGTGGAAGTGATATTCTCCTGTATGTATATGCACATAACACCTATTTACAAAGTTCTCCCCAAATCAGTGTCCACACCTCAGCTACATGGAGGGGAGCAAGGCCTGCAGGTTACAGCTCTCCTGGATGCAGGATCCTTTCCTTTCTCAGGTGCCGTCCAGCCACTCAGGCATCATGGGCATCCAATATTCGGGAGTATCCGGTGTCCTCACTTGGAAGAGGCTCATCTAAAGAGAAATAACTGTTCTTTGCGTTCACAGAAATAAAACTCTTGGATGGCCTCCATCCCGAGTTACCTATAGACTAGAACAAAAGGGAATGAAGTCATTTCCTGCTGAACATTTTACATTCCCCAACTTTAAGGCAACTTGTCATTCTGATCAGAATCTTAGTAAGAGAAGTTAGTTGGGACCTGAGAAATAAGCAACGGGCATGTATGACTGTGAGGAATTCACAAAACCTGAACCTCCTATGGAAACAGAACCATCTCCTGTGTATTGTGAGTCAATTCTGAAGCATTTGAGAACAATAAAAACCCGTGTTCCAGGGGAAATGAAATAATGTGAGAAAGAAGAAAAGTCGAGGAGCCTGAGCACTCCCTCTATCATGCTGGACAGAGGCTGCTCTTTGGTCCTGAACTAACAATGCTGCCTGAACATACATTGAGGTAAGGCTTGAGACTGGGTCTGAGAGAAGTAGAAGAGTTCGGAACCTGGATCACCACCTTGGAAGCAGTAGTTGTGCCTCTGTTGAGCTCACCAAGCTGGTATCCAGGACACGTGCTCCCTTCTGAGACTGTGCATCTGGGATGCTCAGAAGAGACTGCTAAGACCAAACTTACCGACTGCTGGTCCTTGATGGGTATTTTGGTGATTAAAATGAGAAACTAACATGTTCTGGGTGACTTACTATTTGCTGGGTATGCCCTCAGTGCTTCATCTACATATCTTTAATTCTTGAAGAAATTTTCAATGCAGGTATAAATGTTCCATTGTACAGATGAGGATATTGAGACTGAGGAGGTAAAGAGATGTCATAGTTTGGTTTCTCCCAGAAGGCACTCTGAAGAAAAGATTCAAGTGCATGTAGTGGAATTGGTTAGTGCAGGTGTCACTGGTTGGGGAGTGTGGACGTGATGCAGGAAAGGGGCACATAAGCCTGTAGCATTGTGGCCAATGCAGCTTATGCCTAAGAGGAAATACCAGAAACAATGTAAGCACACGCTTTAGGACTACCCAACGGAGCAATTTGGGAGCTGCCTCCTTATAACCCTATCCAGAAGCAGTGATTGGGACACACACAGGCAGCATGACTTCTGTTGTTGCAAGAAAACAGCCCTGAAGCCCTAACCGATTGGTCTCAGTGGATAGAGCATCGGCCTGCGGACTGAAGGGTCCCAGGTTTGATTCTGGTCAAGGGCATGTACCTTGGTTGTGGGCACCTCCCCAGTAGGGAGTGTGCAGGAAGTAGCTGAATTGATGTTTCTAACTCTCTATCTCTCTCTCTCTCTCCCTTCCTCTCTGTAAAAAAACAATAAAATATATATTTTTTAAAAAAGAGAACAGCCCTGAGGCACGGAGATGCAGTCTACTGGCAGAAATGGGCCTGAACACACGAAGATCCAAGATCCATGCGCTGGGACTTCAAAATCCCATCTACAATCTGTGATTTTCTCCACTAGCATACAGTATTGTATTATTCAGTGTAGACTCACACTTTCTAGAAAAGAGGACAGAGTAAGAAGAAGAGGTAGTGCTGGTGAAGAAGGAGATGGAGAAGGTAGAGAGGATGAGGGGTAGGAACAGGTGATGGAGAGAGAAAGAAGAAGAAAAAAGAAGAGGAGGAAGAAGAGAGGGAGAAGAAAAAGGAAGGAAGGAGGAGGTAGAGAAGGAGGAAAAGGGAGAGAGAAGATGAAAGAAAAAGGAAGGAAGAAGAGAAGGGATCAAAGAAAATGAGAAAGAAAGAAAAAGAAAACATAGTAATTGTGTAGTAACTGACCTGAGGTCACCGAATCTGCTGGTTAACAAGGTTAGGACTGGACTCACCAACTCATCCTGGTTTGCCCAAACTGCCCCAGTCACAACCCTGGGGAATCCTGCATCCTGGGAAACCCTTTTTAGTCCTGGGCAATCAGGGCTCTTGTCACCCAGGAAGTGAAATGATTGATGCCTTCTCAGTCCCAGCTTCTGCTTCCACCCACCTGCTTTGGTCCTGCTGTGCATATGCAAGAGATTATGCCAAACATCCTCTACCCAAGTGTCTGTGATCCAACCTGGATACACAGGTGAGGTGGGTTGTTCCAGAGAGAGATTCCTGTCACAGTCTTGAATCAGGCTTTTGTGGGCAAACAAACTTGGACTCAGGCATGGTGTCAATTTAACCCATGAACATACCAGCATCATGTCGTTTAAACAGGGATCCTTCCAAAACTAAGTAAAGCTGAATACACAAAACACATATACTGACTCTCAAAGGTCACGAGGGACTCTATCATATGACAAGAATGTGATCAAAGCCGGAACCATCCTGATGATGGGACCACCTTCCCTTTATCTGAAAACGTTTCTATGACTTATTCTCAATTAAGGAACACATTAAACACTTACTTTCTAAACATTCATATCGGGTAGGAAACAACTTCCTCTTCGCCTATTTCCCTGTAGTTACCAAAACAACATAAACAAAAACAAGGAAAGTCTTACTGATTGGTGCCAACATTGGGGGCCCAGTGTATAAAAACCCCAGAACGGAAGAAGTCCTCAGAATCTGACAAACTCACCTCTGAACAGAAACTCACCTTCTACACCTGACACCATGTGCTGCTCCCCTTGCTGCCAGCCCACCTGCTGTGGGTCCAGCTGTTGCCGACCCAGCTGCTGCTGCCGCCCATGCTGTGTGTCCAGCTGCTGCCAGCCTTGCTGCAGCCCATGCTGTGGATCCAGCTGCTGCAGCCCATGCTGTGTGTCTAGCTGCTGCCAGCCTTGCTGCAGCCCATGCTGTGGATCCAGCTGCTGCCAGCCTTGCTGCCGCCCATGCTGTGTGTCCAGCTGCTGCTGTAAAACGACCTGCTGCCCGGCCCAGCTGCTGCTGCCGCCCATGCTGTGTGTACAGCTGCTGCCAGCCTTGCTGCCGCCCATGCTGTGGATCCAGCTGCTGCCAGCCTTGCTGTAGCCCATGCTGTGTGTCCAGCTGCTGCCAGCCTTGCTGCCGCCCATGCTGTGTGTCCAGCTGCTGCCAGCCTTGCTGCCGCCCATGCTGTGTGTCCAGCTGCTGCCAGCCTTGCTGCCGCCCATGCTGTGTGTCCAGCTGCTGCCAGCCTTGCTGCCGCCCATGCTGTGGATCCAGCTGCTGCCAGCCTTGCTGCCGCCCATGCTGTGGATCCAGCTGCTGCCAGCCTTGCTGCCGCCCATGCTGTGGATCCAGCTGCTGCCAGCCTTGCTGCCGCCCATGCTGTGGATCCAGCTGCTGCCAGCCTTGCTGCCGCCCATGCTGTGGATCCAGCTGCTGCCAGCCTTGCTGCCGCCCATGCTGTGGATCCAGCTGCTGCCAGCCGTGCTGCTGTCCAAAATGGTGTCAGACCACCTGCTGTAAAACCACCTGCTGCCGGCCCAGCTGCTGCTGCCGCCCTTGCTGTGTGTCCAGCTGCTGCCAGCCTTGCTGCTGCTGATCATCTTGTCAAAGAACCACCATCTTCATAACCCATCAGTTAACTGACCCGCCATTTTGGAAACAAATGCATTTCCTTGACTTGGTTGACAACCAGCATGCTGTACCTAAATTTCTGTGACTCGTGTGCCTGACACAAACTTCTAAATCAGCTGGATGGAGAGCAGAGGACGTCCCCAATCCTCTTCCTCCCGTGTGTGTGGATCATATGCCAGCTTCGTGCATCCTCGCCATGGAGCTATGGTCTCTGCTTTGACTCCGTAGTCCAGGTCGTCATCCTCTGAGTAACTTAAAAAAAGGAATTCTTATAACTGTTACATAGGTTTTCTGCAACTGCTGAAAATTTTCTCAGTCCTGTTTTCTTTTCCCATGCACTCCTGGTTCCTGTAATCCTGGTTTTCTTCCACAGTCACTCTCAGGTAGGTTCCTGCTTACGGGGAGTTGTACCTCTATTTCTTAATAAATTCTGTGCATTCCATATTGCGTTTGGTTTTATTGTACAGCGTCCTGCTGGATGGATTTAACCAGCACTACCTTACATGTTGCACATCATATGCATAATTCATTCTGAGCTTCATATAGTTCCCCCAAAATAATTATTTCCATTCTTCACCTGATAACATTTCACATGGTCATGTTAGATAGCTGATTTGGACAGACTCAGACCCAAGACTGTATCTTTTGCTTTACTGCTCAATGGCACTTAATTTCAGTGTCTCTGACAGTGGAAGTGATACTCTCCTGTATGTATATGCACATAACACCTATTTACAAAGTTCTCCCCAAATCAGTGTCCACACCTCAGCTACATGGTAGGGCAGAAAGGCCTGCAGGTTAGAGCTCTCCTGGATGCAGGATCCTTTCCTTTCTCAGGTGCTGTCCAGTCACTCACACATCATGGGCATCCAGTATTCGGGAGTATACAGTGTCCTCACCAGAAAGAGGCTCATCTAAAGAGAACTAACTGTTCTTCACTTTCAAGTAAATAAAATTCTCGGATGGCCTCCATCCCGAGTTACCTATAGACTAGAACAAAAGGGAATGAAGTCATTTCCTGCAGAACATTTTACATTCTGCAACTTTAAGGCAATTTGTCATTCTGATCAGAATCTTAGCAAGAGAAGTTAGTTGGGACCTGAGAAATAAGCAACGGGCACGTATGACTGTGAGGAATTCACAAAACCTGAACCTCTTAAGGAAACAGAACCATCCTCTAGGTATTGTGAGTCAACTCTGAAGCATTTGAGAAAAATAAAAACCTGTGTTCCAGGGGAAGTGAAATAATGTGAGAAAGAAGAAAAGTCGAGGAGCCTGAGCACTCCTATAGTCATGTTGGACAGAAGCTGCTCTTTGGTCCTGAACTAACAATGCTGCCTGAACATACATTGAGGTAAGGCTTGAGACTGGGTCTGAGAGAAGTAGAAGAGTCTGGAACCTGGGTCACCTCCTTGGCAGCAGTAGTAGGTGCCTCTGTTGAGCTCACCTAGCTGGTATCCAGGACATGTGCTCACTTCTGAGACTGTGCATCTGGGATGCTCGAAGAGACTGCTAAGACCAAACTTACTGACTGCTGGTCCTTGATGGGTATTTGGGTGATTAAAATGAGAAACTAACATGTTCTGGGTGACTTACTATTTGCTGGGTATGCCCTCGGTGCTTCATCTACATATCTTTAATTCTTGAAGAAATTTTCAATGCAGGTATAAATGTTCTATTGTACAGATGAGGATATTGAGACTGAGGAGGTAAAGAAATGTCATAGTTTGGTTTCTCCCAGAAGGCACTCTGAAGAAAAGATTTAAGTGCATGGAGTGGACTTGGAAAGCACAGGTCTCACTGGTTTGGGAGTATGGACTTGATGCCGGAAATGGGTACATTAAACCAGTATCTTGTGGCCAAATGCAGCTTATGCCTAAGAGGCAATATCAGAAACGATGCAAGCACATACTTTAGGATTACCCAACGGAGCAATTTGGGAGCTGCCTCCTTATAACCCTCTCCAGAAGCAGTGGTTGGGACACTCACCTCTGAACAGAAACTCTCCTTCTACACCTGACACCATGTGCTGCTCCCCTTGCTGCCAGCCCAGCTGCTGTGGATCCAGCTGTTGTGGATCCAGCTGTTGCCGTCCCAGCTGCTGCTGCCGCCCATGCTGTGTGTCCAGCTGCTGCCAGCCTTGCTGCCGCCCATGAACATATTTTTGATTGGGAAGAACAATTTAACCCCATGAGTGGTTGGGACACACACAGGCAGAACAATTTAACCCCATGAACATATCAGCATCATATCCCTCACACAGGGATACTTCCCAATCAAAGCACAGCTGAATACACTAAACACATGTACTGGCCCTCATGAAGCCATGAGGGACTCTATCAAGAAAATAGCCCTGATGCTCAGAGATGCAGGTCTACTGGCAGAAATTGCCCTGAACACACTCCGATCCAAGATACCTGAGTGGGGAATTCAAAACCTCATCTATAATCTATGATTTTCCCCACTTGCATCCAATATTGTGTTATTCAGTGTAAACTCACACTTTCTAGAAGAAAAATAAAAAGTAAGAAGAAGAGGTAGTGCTGGTGAAGAAGGGCATGTAGAAGGAGGAGGAGGTGGATGGGAGGAATGGGTGAGGGGAGATGGAGAAGGAGAAGAAGAAAGATGAGGAGAAAGAGAAGGAAGAGAAGGAAAAGGAAGGAAAGGAGGAGGAAGAGAAGGAGGAAGAGAGAGTAGAAGAAAAAGAGGGAAGAAGGAAGAAAAAGGAAGGAAGGAAGGGATTAAAGAAAATGAGAAAGAACATGTGTAATCAGTGACAAGAGGTCACTGAATCTGCAGGTTAACAAGGTTAGGACTGGAGTCACCAACTCATTCTGATTTGCCCAAACTGCCCCAGTCACACCCCTGGGGAGTCCCGCATCCTGGGAAACCCCTTAGTATGGGGCAATCAGGACCATTGGTCACCCAGGAAGTGAAATGATTGATGCTTTCTCAGTCCCAGCTTCTGTTTCCTCCCACCTGCTTTAATTCTGCTGTGCATATGCAAGAGATTATGCCAAACATCCTCTACCAAGTGTCTGTGATCCAACCTGGATACACAGGTGAGGTGGGTTGCTCCAGAGAGAGATTCCTGTCACAGTCTTGAATCAGGCTTTTGTGGGCAAACAGTCTTGGACTCAGGACTTAGGAGTCAATTTAACCCCATGAACATATCAGCATCATATTCCTCACACAGGGATACTTCCGAATCAAAGCACAGCCGAATACACAAAACACATGTACTGGCCCTCATGAAGCCATGAGGGACTCTATCATATGACCACAATATGACCAGAGCAGGAATGATTATGTGACCACCCTCCTTTTATCTGAAAAAGTTTCTGTGAGTTTTCTCAATTAAGGAACACATTAAACACTTATTTCCTAAAGGTTCATATCACGTAGGGAACAACTTCCTCCTTGACAATTTCTCTGTGATTAACAAAACAACATAAACAAAAACAAGGAAAGTCTTACTGATTGGTGCCAACATTGGGGGCCCAGTGTATAAAAACTCCAGAACGGAAGAAATCCTCAGAACCTGAAAAACTCACCTCTGAACAGAAACTCTCCTTCTACACCTGACACCATGTGCTGCTCCCCTTGCTGCCAGCCCAGCTGCTGTGGATCCAGCTGTTGTGGATCCAGCTGTTGCCGTCCCAGCTGCTGCTGCCGCCCATGCTGTGTGTCCAGCTGCTGCCAGCCTTGCTGCCGCCCATGCTGTGTGTCCAGCTGCTGCCAGCCTTGCTGCCGCCCATGCTGTGGGTCTAGCTGCTGCCAACCTTGCTGCCGCCCATGCTGTGGGTCTAGCTGCTGCCAGCCTTGCTGCCGCCCATGTTGTGGGTCTAGCTGCTGCCAGCCTTGCTGCCGCCCATGCTGTGTCTCCAGCTGCTGCCAGCCATGCTGCCGCCCATGCTGTGTCTCCAGCTGCTGCCAGCCTTCTTGCTGCTGATTACCCTGACTTAAGTGCCACCATCTACATGCAACACATTCTGTGAACTGACTTGCAATTTTGGAAACAAATTCACTTCCAAATGTTGCTGAAAGCCAGCATGTGGTCCCCCAAATTTTTGTGACTCATTTGCCTGTTAACAGAGGACATCACCCTGATCTTTTCTTACGTCTTGTGGATCATGTGCCAGCTTCATGCATCCTCAATGTGGAGTCTAACCTCTGAGTAACTTAGAGAAACAAACTCTCATTACTTCTTCTCGGATTTCTGCTGCTGGTCTTAATAGCATTCTTCATAATCATGTTACTTTTTCAATGTACTCATGGTTCTTATATCCTGCTTTTTTATTTTCATGATCACTTTGAATTGTCTTTGTAGATGCAGGAATTCTCTCCTATATTTCTTAATAAATCCTGTAGCCTTATTCATCCCCAGTTGCATTTTGTTTTATTACACAGCATTCCTGATAGAGGGACCTAGGCACTTATTGCATACCGTATGCGTTTCCATTTTGAGCCTCACAACAGCCTCTCACTAGTTATATCCTCAATTTGTTCAGATGAGAACATTTCACTGTACAATGTAGCTGAAAATGGACCGAGGCGATCGAAGACCGGGCCTCCTGCTCCTCTCAAGGGCAATTACATTCCCATATCGGGACAAGTAGAAATGAACCTGGGACTAACCACCAGCAAGCTGCGCACTTGAGTTTCTCCTTTGACAATGGATGGAATCATCTCCCATATATGCAGTTACCTCTGTGTCTACAGAGTTCTTCCCCAGTCAGGGTCCCACACCTCGGCGAGCCATGGCTGTTTCAGTGAGGGTGGTGGTGAGTATCAGTTAGGGGGCAGTGATGGCGCTGGAGAGCTCTCACGAATGCAGGGAAACTTTCATTCTCTCAGGCTCTGGTCACCCCCGCATGCAATTCATCCGCATCAAGTAATTTTGAGCATCCATCGTGTCCTCTTAAGACAGGCTTGTTTATCAGGACTTGTTCTTGGCATCATGTACTTCTTGTGTGGTCTCCTTCTCCCGCATCCCTGTTTTAAAGCAAAAAGGAATGAAGTAATTCTCCACAAAACATAGACCCTACATTACGATCCCCAACTTTAAACCAACTTGCTTCAATGAGTTTTTATGAGGGATGTTACCATATTAAAGGTTCGACATCAGTCCCTGCTGCTGACAAGTAGCACCTTCAGTAGAGGCAACTGTGGTGGGAGGGGGCGCATGTGTCTGGTTCCTCACAAAGCCTGGGTCCCTGCCACCACGGCTCCTTTGTTTGTGGTCTATCATGGAAGCGCTGGGGCACCTGAGGAGGGAGACGGGATGACTTATCCCACACTCCTGATTGTCCAGTGCCTCCTGAGTGGTGGGTACTCTTGTGGACACTGATGTGGGACACAAAGAGGGAACACTTTCTGTCCACACACCTAGTTATAGCTACATGATTCTTCAAATCTCTGTATCTCCAATCTTTCAATCTTGCTCCTTCCAGGTCTCAGACCAATCACCCGTGCTTCTCACCACTTCCCAACAGCCCGTGAACATCATTTCCTCATCCACTTTTCTTCTAAGCAAAATTTACAACTAGATGTACTGCTCACAGTTCTTTTCACTGGGAGTGTTTTCACATTCCACTTAGACCAGAAGTTGTTGATCTATTTTAGAAAAAATTCCATATGGGGTATAATAGCTACTGTTGGGGCTACTAATTGATAAAATTTAAGGAATTTCATGATTACATATCATATTCCATTAGGTTTCTGCAGGGATAAATGGAGTTGTAAACCAATCATGCTTTAGTCATTTAGGTCAGCACTAACCTCCTGATGTGCCATAGCTTCTTGCTAGCACCTCGGTCTGGAGGTTTAATTTGTAAATTTGAGATAAAGTTTATGTTAAGTTGGGAATATAGGCATAAACAAGAGGCAAATCCCAATTACTGAGAAAAAAGAAAAGGCAAATAAACTATTCTTTACTATTAAGGATTAGAAATAAAATATGTGTTTGTGATACCCCTTGAAAATGTAAGAATGATGATTTCTTAAAGAAAGTATCTGCCTACAGACCGGCTGATATAGTAAAGGAGGCCGAAAAAGAGAAAGAAAGAATTCCAGATTAATCCGTGGGTGGACATACTATTTAGGATGGAAGTGGGGAAAAGAAAGCAATAGACAAAAGGAGGATGACACTATATATGAGAAACATTCATGAGGGTGCATAAATATATCCTGCATGTCCATCCTCCCCCCCCCCAACACACAGCTAGGGAGCAGCAGAACAGGAATTTGAAGACTCTTCCATATGATTCTAATTCCCAGAACCAAGATCTATTGTATTCTTTTCCACAACAGAGAATTTACAATTAAAGATAAAATTGGAGATGAGGAGCTGACAGTCTTGGAGGGAACTTAGTACAGACAAGGGCTGATGCAAACTAGCAGCATCTTTACAAAATTGGCTCACACATGAGTGGCTCTGTAATCAGGTGAGGGTGGGGGCTAGAAGCTCTACAGAACTTTTTCCTATGTTTCCCTCTAGAAGTTCTATAGTTTCAGGCTTTACATTTAGATGCATAATACATTTTAAGTTGATTTTGTATAACATATGAAATATGGGCCCAAGTGGGTTTTTTTTTGTTTTGTTTTGTTTTGCACATGGATATTTAGCTGTTTCAGCATCATTTGTTCAAAAGACCACACTTTCTCTGCATATTAATTTGATACCTTTTTAAAAAATCAATTTTTTCCCCATTGATCTATATCAGCGGTTGCCAACCTTCCAGTGGTCCACGGTTATTTTCTATGACATTTCTTTATGACCATGGACAATTGCCCAAGAAAGAAGGGTTTCCTAAGTATTATGAATTTTTCTGAAAATAAATGATAGAATTGTTCTCCTAATTAAAAGATAACCTGTAAGAACTTATTTCCAGAAATGGGAGAGATAGTCAACATCAAAAGAATTATTAACTATGAATCATCATTTTTTAAAGACAGAGTACATCCTCTGGTCATATGCTAGTTCAAGCTAGTTTGGAGAAGATGCCAGAGCCATTGTCACTAACTTTCCTCCGTTGATGCTACTTATATTGAAATGCATCTCTGAAGACAGAGCATGTTATTGACGAAACAAAGATGATGAATTCAAACTACATTTTAACACATTTTGAATATTTTAACAAGGCTTTCATCTGTGTCACACAAAACTTTTCGTAGCAAGCAACTCCACATGGGCACGTATTTTCAGTAGCAGGGAATGGGCTCAACTGTAACTGGCATGATCTTTTCCATGCTGGCCTCCAGATTTGTTGGCCGGCCTGACAGCAAGCCTGTTCTGGGGGCACTATATTTACATTTACTGGTAAAGAAAAAGCAGTTAGTCTGACAACTAAAATAGTCTGCTTTGAATTGCAGTCTAAAACTACAAATGCCAAGGAGTGTAAATGGAGGAACAAAGGGGACAACAATGACGCCATCATGTGTATCAATGGAGCAAAGCAGAATCAGGTGCATAATATTTTGAACACTTAGACATTTCCATATTTGGATAACTTTTTAAAAAGAGAGCCTCTTTCTTTCACTGGCAGCGATGTGGCCCCAGATACAGCTTCATGTGCTCTGAATTAAGCTGTGGCTAAGGATTTCTGGTGCCTCGGCTGCTGATGCGGCCTGACTTGGCTGCAAAGGTGGAGAAACCCCATGTTCATAGGTCCAGCATATGGGTAATGGCATTTTCCACTCAACATAATTTTCAGTTGAGTCATCCAGGTTGTTGAGTATTAATAGTTTATTCTATTGCTGAGAAGTATTCCATAGTATATCACAGTTTAATCACTCATTCATTGAAGGGTATCTGGGTTGTATCCATTCTTTGGCTGTTATGAACAGAACTAGTACAAACATTCACTGTATGAACAAAGTCTTCACTTCTCTGGTAGAAATGTCCAAGATTGCAATTTCCAGGTTATATGGTAATTGCATGTTTTGTTTTTAAAGAACCTGACAAACTGTTTTTTAGAATAGCTACATCATTTCACATCTGCATCAGTATTGTACAGTGATACAGTTTCTCCACATCCTCATTAGCATTCGGTGTTACCTATCTTTTATTTCAGCTATGATGATAGGTTTACAGTGGTATCTCATCAAGGCTCTAATTTGCATTTCCCCAATGGCTAATGGTATTGAACATCTTTTCACGTGCTCATTTGCCATTTATATATCTTCTTCGGGGAAATGTCTCTCCATGTCCTTACCCATGCTCTACTTTGACGGTTCAATTTTTTTCTTCTGTTGAGTTCGAGAGTTCTTTATATATTCTAGATACTAGTGCTCTATCAGATATGTGGTTTATAAATATTTTCTCCCAATCTGTACCTTGTCTTTTCATCCTTTTAACAGCACACCTTACAGATCAAAGGTTTTTAATTTCAATGAAGTTCAGTTTATCAATTTTTCCTTTTATGGATTGTACTCTTGATGTTAATAGTAAGAACTCTTTGCCTAGTCCAAGATCACAAAGATTTTTCCCCCTATGTTTTCTTCTCAAAGTTTTATCATTTTACATTTAAGTTTGTGATGCATTTAAATTTTTCTTCTTCTTTTGCTTCCAACTTGCTCCTTTGTAAAAAAAAAATCAGTTGGGAATATTTGTGTGGTTCTGAGACATCACTATCTTTTTATTTGAGATTTTTATCCCATTCATATTTATTCTGATAACTAATGTGTTTATTATTGCTTTTTAAAGAGCTTTATTGAGATGTAATTAAAACCATCAAGTTCACCACTTTTATTTTATTTACTTATTTTTTTAAAATATATTTCTTTATTGATTTCAGAGAGGAAGGAAGAGGGAGAGAGAGATAGAAACATCAATGATGAGAGAATCATTGATTGGCTGCCTCCTGCACGCCCCCGACTGGGGATGGAGCCTGTAACCTGGGCATGTGCCCTTGGCCGGAATCGAACCCGGGACCCTTCAGTCCACAGGCCAACGCTCTATCCACTGAGCCAAACTGGCTAGGGCAAGTTCACCACTTTTAAAGTATAGCTCAATGTTTTTAGAATCTAAGCAGGTTGGGCAGCTATTACCACATCTAGGTTTAGAACATCTTCATCTCCCTGATAAGATACTTCATATCCATTAGCAATCACTCCCCATGTCCTCAACCTCCACCCTAGCTGCAGGCAACTACTGATCTACTTTCTCTCTACTTAGATTTGCCTCTCTGGACATTCCATATACATGGAATCATAGAGTATGTGGTCTTTCATAACTGACTTCTTTCACTTAGTGTGTTGTTTTCAAGGTTCATCCACATTGTAACATGTGTCAATATTTAATTCCTTTTTATTGACAAATAATTCATCTGGATAAACAAAATTATAATATAAAGTTCATACACACAATTCATTAAAGGAATTTAAATGTTACATTAGAAAATATCCACTTAATACACTAGAAGGAAATAAAGAAGGCATATAGGAAAATGGACTTGTATCAAGGATATATAAAGAATTCTTATAACTCAATAACTCAATAAAAAAATTATAAATGGACACATAATTTTGTCCATTATTCTACATTTTGTTTTTTGTTTTTTTTAAATATATTTTATTGATTTTTTACAGAGAGGAAGGGAGAGAGATAGAGAGTTAGAAACATCGATGAGAGAGAAACATCGATCAGCTGCCTCCTGCACATCTCCTACTGGGGATGTGCCCACAACCAAGGTACATGCCCTTGACCGGAATCAAACCTGGGACCTTTCAGTCCGCAGGCCGACACTCTATCCACTGAGCCAAACCGGTTTTGGCTACATTTTGTTTATACAGTCATTAGTTGATGAACATTTGGGTTGTTTCCTCTGCTTTGATATATCCAGGAGCAAATTTCAGGGTCTCTACATGATAACTCTATGGTTAATTTCTCAGAAATTGACAAACTATTTTCCAAAGCAGTGTACCATGTTATAATCCCACCAGCAATGTATAAAGGTGTCAACTTCTGCACATGCTCATTGTAAGGGCATAAAAAAAAAGCTTTTCTTTTTCTTTGCTGTGGCTTTCCACAATTTATGAAAAGCACATGGTAATTAAACCCCAAGATTGTTAGCTCCTCTGATTCAAACAGTCCCTCTGTTCAAGCTGCAAGACAAGATAAACTACTCTAAAGGCTACATTCTTGCCTTCCCCCTCTCCCTGCTGTTTTTACAACTCAGGGATAATTCACATCAAGGAGTTTTTACTTAATAGAAAGTTCCCTTCTCCCCTCCCGTTAAAACAAGTCTCTTTTGAACTCTTCATAACTTTTGCTCTAAGCATGTTTTATAGGCTTGGGAAAAATACTAATAACACACCTCCGTGGCTCAGTGGTTGAGTGTGACCTATGAACCAGGACACCACGGTTTGATTTCCGGTGAGGGCACATGCCTAGTGAGGGTTGTGCAGGAGGCAGCCAATCAATGATTCGCTCTCATCATTGATGTTTCTATCTCTTTCTCCCTCACCCTTCTTCTCTGAAATAAAAAATACATATATTAAAAATAAAAAGGACACCTCCCTGGGACATCTGCAGGACTGTCTCCTAAAAAGCAAACAAACTAACTTTTCAAGACAACAGCCCTGATGTCTGCTCAACTTCCTCCTCCCCAAATCCTCCTCCCTTCCTTATCACCTAGCAACCACAGCCATTACTTTTTTAAAGGGGAAGCTGACTTTGTTTCTTGCCTTGTATTAACAATGCACCGTCCTTTTTCTCCCTTGGAAAGTAAAATAAACCCCCTCTCTCTGCATCTATCTCTTCTCTCAGTTGTGAATCATAGGCCAAACCCTAACACTCACCAATACTTGTTATTATCTGCCTCTTAAGTCCTAGTGGCAATAAAGTGGTGTATTGTAATTTGATTTACATTTCCCTAATGACTAATTATGTTGAGCATCTTTGCATGGGCTTATAAGCCATTTGTATGTCATTTTTGTACACGTCTATTCAAATTCTTTGACTCACATTTGCTCCCAAGTCTTTCCCGCCTCATTTAAAAACATTGGCTTATGATGCCACAGAGTGCTCTTCCTGTTCTATCTTCTTGAGAAGACAAAGTCTCAGTGCATTCAATTTTAGGCTTATTCTTATCAATGGAATTGCACCAACAAGGAATTAGGAGAGTAGGTCATGGCCCTGGGCTCTCCGGGGCACCTTCCCAGAACATCTTAGCCAGTTTCTGAAAAATATAGATTTCTAGGCTTCATTACGGGGGATATGTGTCATTTGGTTATTTCATAAAGAAGAGATATGATAATTTCTTGTGCTAAACAGAGTGATACTGCCAATAAGAAGTCGTAACAACATGAGGAAATCTGCCAAAATGCATTACTTGGGATTCCTTTCCCAGCGCACTAATCACCAGCCTGCTCACTGCCCAAGAATCATTCATTTGGGGGAAGGTCTCCAACTCCTCTCCGGGATCCCTCAATATATCATTCTGAGAATTATTTCATTCCCATTTGTCTGTGTCCTAAACTCATGACTCACAGCTTAGGCCTGGGCTGAGTCATGGAAAAGAGAAACATACGGACACTTAGCAACAAATGGTGAGTCTCATTCCAGCCAATTGGAGCAGAGAGCTGCAGTCCTGAAAATTAGATGATACACACAAGAAAGAAACACAAGTGTTGATTTGAAGAAAAGATTAGAGTGAAGATACATCATAGAAAGGAAGAATGCATTCTATCTCACTTTGCAAGAAAAAATGATGATAATCACCTAATTGAAAAATTTCTTGCCTATTAAGATAAACAATAACAAGGAAAAAATTGCTTCAACAGGGTATAAAAGAGGGCCTGAGCAAGGAGATTCAGGAAACTCATTCTCCTAGAAACTCACCCAGAACCTCCACCCTCTGACACTATGGTCAACTCTTGTGGTTCCACCTGCTCTGACCAGGGCTGTGGCCAAGGCTGCTGCCAGGAGACCTGCTGCCGCCCCAGCTGCTGCCAGACCACCTGCTGCCGCCCCAGCTGCTGTGTGTCCAGCTGCTGCCGCCCCTCCTGCTGTGGCTCCAGCTGCTACCGCCCCTCTTGCTGTGGCTCCAGCTGCTGCCGCCCCTCTTGCTGTGGCTCCAGCTGCTGCAGGCCTACCTGTTGCATCTCTAGCTGCTGCCGCCCCACCTGTTGCCAGACCACCTGCTGCAGGACCACCTGCTGCCGCCCCAGCTGCTGTGGCTCCTGCTGTGGTTCTTGTTGCTGCCGCCCCAGCTGCTGTGTGTCCAGCTGCTGCCGCCCCAGCTGCTGCACTTCTAGTTGCTGCCGCCCCTCCTGCTGTGGTTCCAGCTGTTGCAGGCCCAGCTGCTGTGTGTCCAGCTGCTGCCGCCCCAGCTGCTGCACTTCTAGTTGCTGCCGCCCCTCCTGCTGTGGTTCCAGCTGTTGCAGGCCCAGCTGCTGTGTGTCCAATTGCTGCCGTCCAGTCTGCTGCCAGACCACCTGCTGTCGCCCTGTCTGTTGTGGATCCTCCTCTTGTTGTTGAACTACATTTTTCACCACCAGCCCTGAGTCAACTACCAGTGCATCAGTCTTCTTCTCATTTCCTTTCTCCACAGCACCCAGCCCTTTTCTAATCTGTTACTATGTTTATTAACCCCTGCCACCAAGCAACTAGTTAAAAAGTAACAACTTAAACTAAATACCACACAAAACCTCCAAGCAGACATTCTGTCAAATGACCAAATGTCTACTACTTCATGGGTAGGCTTCACCTTCACACTGAATGTGTGCAGTAGAGCAACCATGTCTCAATAAATACTTTTTCTCCTAGCATCAAAACATATGTGGCCTTTAATTATTTTTTAGTGTTGATTATGAATTGGAGATGAGTTTGGATATTTGTTATGAGCACAGAAAAACTGATTTTGCATATATCAATCAAAGCCTATTTATATAAATAAAAGGCTAATATGCTAAGTGTCTGTCCGGGTAATGACATCACGTAGCAATGCCCGGCTTCCTCTCCCTCGCGACAGGCCATTGAACAATAAATGGCACTGTGGACCCAAAGCCCATAACACTCAGCTTCCCCCAAGTGGGACACAGGCCTTACCACCACCCTGGAATGACACCCCACCAAATTGCAGCCGACGCTGCTGAGACCCCTTGGCGCAAAATGCGCCCACAGCCCAGCCCAGCCCAGAAACAATGGCTATAGGTGCCGGGTAATGATGTCACGTAACAATGCCCGGCTTCCTCTCCCTAGTGACAACTAGCCTCCTTGCAGTCCAGGAACACGACGTGCTTTATAGCCAGGTGGAAACATTTTACACTTTAACTAAATGTCTGTGAAGTGTTTTCCTGTGCCTCATCTCATTTGATCCTCACAGAAGTCCTGGAGTAGGTAGATAGGAGACTTGGTGGAATCCTGTTTTCTTTTCATTAGCCGGAAAACGGAAATTTAGAAAGCTTAGAAACTTGACCCGACTGAAAAGAAGTAAGAAATAGTGGTCCTTGAAAATGACTTCAGGTTTTCTCACTGCGCAGAATATAGTCAAACACTGCTACAGTTAAATATTTTACCCTTTGTTCTCCCTGCGTGATCTACAATAATAATCTGCTTCATGTTGACATTTACTGCTGTGCTGCTGACAATTACCTGAAAGAGAAGTTGGGGTGCTTCACTGGGCTGGAAAAAGTTTTCCTACATCATAAAGCAGGTCTAGTTAAGCAAGTTTATTCTATATATATAAAAGGCTAAGTTGACTCGCGCATGTGCGATACATATAAAGCTCTCACTGGCGCCAATCGCACGCATGTGTTTCGATCTGTCACTGTCGATAGTGAATTTGGTTGACACTTCTATTATAGAGAAAGGGAGAATAGCAGTATTAAAATATTTCTTCTAATTAATCTCCTTCAATGTGCACAAATTCGTGCACTGGGCCACTAGTATCAAAGAAAATGCCAAATAATTAGTCTTTCTCCAGCCAGATTGCCCACATTGTCTGCCAGCAAGTTAATTGAGAGAAGACAAGAACATCCTTTTTACTAAACTAAATTATGAACCACTTAGCAAGGTCCTTGTGCTACTGGGCTCTGGGAAACTTATAAGTTGAATGAGACCCAGTTCCCATCCCTCAGGTAACTCACAATGAAATCTTGGATTTAATAGAAAGACGTATGTTAAGTAGAGTATGTTGGTAATAATGGTGAGAAAGAGGATTCTATTCTATTGGAGAAGATAATATATAAGGATTGATTTAAAAAAAAATGTGCCCAGTCTGAAAATTCAGGGGAATGTCCAGCTCACAGACACATAAGACAAGACAAAGTGAGGAGATGAGTGAATGAAAGCATAATGTTTATATTTTTATGAAGGCAGTCTTTATTCAAAAAGTATTGGAAAAACATTGTCTCATATGTTGCTAGCCTGTGGACTGGGAGCTGTGCCATCTCCCTCCACCTGGAGTGGCTCCATTTTCCCTGATTTAAATAAATACAGTGAGCTTCCAGACAAGAAAGTATTTTTTAAAAGGTTTGAAAATCATTAATTGAAACAACAAATTCACATCAATATGAATAATGTGAATAAGATACTAAGAAAATGGCATAAGTGGAAAAATGTACATGAGAAATTTTATATTTAAAGTACTATTACAAAAAAAGGAAAAAGAAAGAAAGAAAAGAAAAGAAAAGAAAAGAAAAGAAAAGAAAAGAAAAGAAAAGAAAAGGAAAACACACCCAAAAAGCCACTGAAGTAGCAAAATTCTCCAATCCTTCCCTGGTCTATGAGTTTTGCTTATGGCTGACAATACTGTTTTGTATACTTAAAATTTTCTAAGGGGTATATCTTTATGTTGTGCTCTTATATTTAACACAACATAATTTTTTTAAAACGCATATATGTTTCTGACTTCAAGGCAACAGACTAGAATTTTCAGATTTTATATCATATCTGCAAGAACCTCTGTATTTCTCAAATAAAAATTGGATTGAATAGAGTCCTGAAATAGACCCAAAAGCCTATAGGAATTAAGTACAAAAAAGGTGGCAGTTTAAAATCACCCTGTAAGGGAAGAATTATTTTTAAAATGGTATAGGTCGGCTAGTTAACTGGATAAAGAAAGAAGGAAAGGAAGGAGAGATACTACATTCATTAAACCAAAACAAACTTCAATAGAATGAAAACTCATTATAAAAACAAAACTGTTAAAGTTCTAAAAGAAATCAGGAGGGATTTTCAAACATAGTGTTAAGCTTATCCTAAGCAACAAGAACAACAAAGCAACACACACACACACACACACACACACACACACAATGAAGGAAAAAATATAGCCAATTAATATAAATAAATGTGACTGCAGCTGAGTCATCAGTAGGCCTGTCATAAGGACTCCTGGAGACATTCTTTTTCCCAAATTCCAGGTCATATAGAAATCTTGGAATTTTCTTCAGATTCCACAATAGGGCTCCCTATAGCCTTCACCCCACAACAACTTGAATCTGCGTTTGTTCCCTCATCTTTCTGTGACAGAAGAAGAGGCTCAGGACCTTTCCAATAAAATGCTGTGTGTGGGCTCGTCAGAGTTATGACAATGCAGGCTCAGCACACCAGCCACACCTCCCAGCAGAGGTCCAATCAGGAGCCCACATTGTCATCATCCAGGTTGTGTCCACCTGGAAATCTGAGCCAGGGCAGAAGTGGAAACTGGCCAGGAATTTTAAAAGCAACATAAGGAGTTTGGCTTATGAGATGTTTAAGCTGCTTAAGGTAGAAAGGGATCCTCAAACCCATTTCATCCCATCTCCTCTATCTGGATTTTCATTCGTTCTCTGTAACACCAGCTTACAATTCAAGCCCTCCACTGACTGTCTACAGAGGCCGTCATTCCACAACCTTACTCACCATGGTGACTCAAATTTGATTCTATGAGACACCCACTTACCTGATATCAGCCCATTACAGCAATCGGGGGAGATGTCAATCCCTCACATACAGCTACCATTCGACTAGCCCCGTGGTCGGCAAACTGCGGCTCGCGAGCCACATGCGGCTCTTTGGCCCCTTGAGTGTGGCTTTTCCACAAAATACTATGTGCGGGCGCATGTACAGTGCGATTGAAACTTCGTGGCCCATGCGCAGAAGTTGGTTTTTGGCTTGGGCGAGTCTATTTTGAAGTACTGTTGATATTTGGTTCTGTTGACTAATGAGTTTGCCGACCACTGGACTAGCCGACTAGTGTTTCTCAGAATGAGGGGCACTGACAGTTCAGTTGGCTCTTTATATACATTTCCCCTTTGGAGTCAAGGAAACCTGGGAAAAAGAAGGACAGTTACTATAAAATCAGTTTTTATATTATGTTCTGCCAAATAGGCATCGGTTTCAACGTCAGGATAGTTTCTGGGTAGCCATTCCTGTCTTGAACTAGACATCTTGAGAACAGAGTCACAGACATCTCAACTTGGTTGAGAATTTTCTCATAAAGTGAGAGTATTTTTTTAAAAAATATATTTTATTGATTTTTTACAGAGAGGAAGGGAGAGAGATAGAGAGTTAGAAACATTGATGAGAGAGAAACATCGATCAGCTGCCTCCTGCACATCTCCCACCGGGGATGTGCCCGCAACCCAGGTACATGCCCTTGACCGGAATCGAACCTGGGACCTTTCAGTCCGCAGGCTGACGCTCTATCCACTGAGCCAAACTGGTTTCGGCATAAAATGAGAGTCTTTTCATCAAAATATTTGGAAGCCATAAGGTAAGGGAGGTTGAATATGCTGAAAGACAAAATCATGATGCGAAAATCTGTAGACATCCTTGCACAAGACACTAAATCCCACAGGATGAAATGTCAGAGCCTTTCTGAGATCTAGATGAGTAGTTATCAAAGCACATGGCACGTGAGTTGGGGAGCTCTGACTATATTTAAATTTGGGGGGAGAACTGACTTAACGTTGTATCCCCTCTCAGCACCTCTTCCCCAGGTGTACCATCACCAGTACAAGCCATGTTACTCCTGGTATCCGGTAGAAGAGATTGAGAAGTGCTGGTCTATGCCTATCCACTTTAAATCTATAAGAAAGACTGAAGCAGTGTGTAATGAAAAAGACAGTGTTTCACAGGCTGTACGTCCACATCTGCTGCCAACCAATATTGTCATTATACTCGGAATGTCAATGTTGATACAGTAATAAAAGTGTCTATTATTCAGCCTTTCAAAAGGAAATCCTGCCAGCCTTAGCCAGTTTGGCTCAGTGGAGAGAGCATCGGCCTGTGGACCAAAGAGTTCCAGTTTCAATTCGGGTCAAGGGCAGGTACCTTGGCTACAGACTCCTCCCTGGCCCGGCCCTGGTCAGGCTCATGCAGGAGGTAACCAACCAACCAACGTATTTCTTTCACATCAATGTTTCTTTCTGTCTTTCCCTCTCTGTTCCACTCTCCCTAAAAATCAATGGGAAAATATCCTGGGGTGCGGATTAACAAAAGACAACAAAAAAAGGAAATCCTGCTATTTGTGATAGCATGGATGGACCTGGAAGACATTATGCTAAGGGAAATAAGTCAGTCACAGCAGGAAAAATACTGCAAGAATCCACTTACATGAGATATCTAAAAGAGACAATTTTTTTTTCATAGAAGAAAATAAAATGGTGGTTTCCAGGGGTGAGAGGAGGAAGAAATGGGTAGTTGTCCAATGGACAGAACATTTCTGTTATACAAAAAAAACACACACACAAGTTTTAGAGATCTGCTGTACAATATTGTGTTTATAACAAAAGCCCATTATAGTGCACATAAAACCTTGTTAAGAGAGATCTCATGTTAACGTTTCCCATCAGAAAATCTAGAAAATGGTCCCTGATTAGCAGTGGGGAGAGGAAATATCCTAAAAGTCTTATTCTCATGCCAGCGATGCCCTGATTCACATTCAACACTTCTCTGCCCACCTGACCCCACAATGAATGAGACATCAAACTAAAATGCAGCTGTATCCCCCTAAGTCACCAAAAGGAATGTGGCTTATTATCACCCAAAGGCAGACATGTTGGGCTGTGCAACATGAGATACACATACATGATCTAAATGCATAAATCACATGACAGCTTTCTTTAAGGAAGATGAAGCAAGAAAGACACATAAGAGATGATCCAGGAAGAGCTGAAGTGAGGAATCCTAACCCATCAGGAAAAGGAAACAATGTTTTCCATCCATCTTGAAAAGGTTAGCCAGGAAAACAAACCTGGCTAATTTCCTAATCACCTGTTAATTAGGACAAACAGGACAAGGAAAGAGCACAGCTTCTGATGACAGCAGCCCTTAGCAGGGTATAAAAGGGGACCTGGGGCAAGCAGACTTCCAAACCTTCCAACCCACCTTCCTGAAAACTCTCTCTGAACCTCCACCCTCTGACACCATGGTCAACTCCTGTTGTGGATCCGTCTGCTCTGACCAGGGCTGTGGCCAAGGCTGCTGCCAGGAGACCTGCTGCCGCCCCAGCTGCTGCCAGACCACCTGCTGCCGCCCCAGCTGCTGCCAGACCACCTGCTGTCGCCCCAGCTGCTGTGTGTCCAGCTGCTGCCGCCCCTCTTGCTGTGGCTCCTCCTGTGGCTCCAGCTGCTGCCGCCCCTGCTGTGGCTCCAGCTGTGGTTCCAGCTGCTGCAGGCCTACCTGCTGCATCTCTAGCTGTTGCCGCCCCACCTGCTGCCAGACCACTTGCTGCAGAACCACCTGCTGCCGCCCCAGCTGCTGTGTGTCCAGCTGCTGCCGCCCCTCCTGCTGTGGCTCCTCCTGTGGCTCCAGCTGCTGCCGCCCCTCCTGCTGTGGCTCCTCCTGTGGCTCTAGCTGCTGCAAGCCTACCTGCTGCCAGACCACCTGCTGCCGCCCCATCTGCTGCCAGACCACCTGCTGCCGCCCCACCTGCTGCCAAACCACCTGCTGCCGCCCAGTCTGCTGACTGCCCTGACCTGTGCACACTGGTTTTCGTCAGCCAATCCTCTTGATGTAGTTTAACTGAACTGAGTCATGAGAGGCCAATTGTAAAACCTGTTTCTACTGATTCCTAAACTGACTTTGGCCTCCAAACACACAGCCTCCTCCCCTCCTTGCCCCCACCCCACCATGTTACTATCTGTCTCCCAAATGAACACAAAGTTTGAATTTTGTCTGAAATCTTTCAACCAACATGTCATCCCAATTGATATATTTCTTCCCAGCCATCTTTTCTCATATGGAGATGCCCCTAAATCTTAAATAAATCTGAATTTCCCAGGCATACAAATACAAGAGTATCGTGTCTGATCATTTTTCCTCTTGACTTGCCATCCTTAGCTGCCAGTTGTTCTGTTATTCTCTCTGCAGGGAGCAGAGGACAGCAGGTGATTTCAGGATCTCAGCATCCTTGTTTTAATAGAGGAAGGTGGTTTCTTACAGCAAACACTTTGATCTGTCGGCCTGTGGGCTTTCTCCGGATGAAGGAGCCAGCTCAAGGCAGGCCGGGGGTCCAAGTATGTAGGAGCAGTGCTCGGCCAGTGATGAGTGCAGTGGGTACATACTCTAGCTCTTTCCTCTCAGGTGGGGGCAAGGAGCACCACTCTCTACAGGTCCTTGGTAGAGTGACGCCCAGCTGCCCATCATCCTACACTGGCCTCCGTCCCTTCCCCAGATCACTTCCCAGGTTCCCTGAAGTGCCTTTTAGGATGATCTTCCTAACAGACTATTTTATTTGAAACTCGTATTAGGGTCTGCCCCTGAGGGCCCTCCATCAAAGACACTGAGAATCACATTAAAGACCCTCCAACCCAGGGATATTCACATAGCGGGGTGTGCCACTGAATAGACTCCAGAATAGACCTAACAGCCTATAGAAACTCAGTACAGACTAAAAATGTTTGTGCTATAATAATATAAGTCATATAAGTCAGCTCGTTAATTTCTGGGCAAAGAAAGGAGAGAGTTAATACTTCATTAAACCAAAGCAAATTTCATTTGGATGAAAAACTCAATATAAAAATTAAACTGTTAATATACTAGAAGAAATCATGAGGCATTTTGAAACATAATTTTAAGCTTATCAAGGAACACACACACACACCATGAAGAAAAATATATACTAAATTAATATAAATAAAAATTATCTCTACTGAGTCATCAGTAGGCTTCACTTATCAGAGCTCCTAAGGGACAACCTTTTCCCAAAACAGGAGGTCATATGGAACTCTTCGAGGTTTTTTCAGACTCCATGATGAGGCTCTCTAGGCCCTCTGCCCCCACAGCAACTTGATATCTGCTTTTGTTCTCTCATCTTTCTGAGACAGAAGAAGAGGCTAAGGACTTCTCCCAAAAAAAGTGCTGTATCTGGTTCACCAGCGTTATGACAATACAGGCTCAGCACAGCAGCCACACCTCCCAGCCGAGGTCCCATCAGGAGCTCAGGTAGTTAGCACCCTGGGGTGTCCACCTGAAAATCAGAGCCAGGGCAGAAGTAGAAACTGGCCAGAAAAAAAAAGCAACATGAGGAGTTTGGTTTTATTCGACCTATACATCTCTTACGGTAGAGAGGGATCCTCAAACCCATGCCATTGATTCTTCCTCTGTAAAACCAGCTTAGAGTTCAAGCTCTCCACTGATTATCCTTGGAGGCAGCCATTCCATAAACCATATTCACCACAGTGACTCAAATTTGTTTCTATGAGACACCCACTTAGGCTATATCAGCCTATTATAATAATCTGGGGAAAGTCAATCTCTCACATACAGCAACCATATGACTAGCTGATTTGTGTTTAAAAAATGAGGGCACTGACAGATCATCTGTTAGCTCCTTACATACAGTTTCCCCTTGGAGTCAAGGAAAGTCAGGGAGGGAGTAGGACACTTACTATAAAATCTGTTTGTTTGTTTTTTTTGTATTATGTTCTACCAAATAGGTGACAGCTTCAACTTTAGGATAGTTCCTGGATAGCCATTCCTGTCTTGGACTAGCCATCCTGAGAACAGAGCCAAGGACATCTCAACTTGGTTGAGAGTCTTCTCATAAAATATGTAAATGAGAAATAAAATGAGAGTCTTTTCATCAAAATATTTGGAGGCCATGAAGTTGAGGGAGATTGAATATGCTGAATGACAGAATCTGGTTCAAAAAGCCCTGGACATCCTTGCACAAGACACTAAATCCCGCAGGATTAAAGGTCAGAGCCTTTCTGAGGTCTAGATGAGTAGTTATTAATGCACATAGCACATGAGTTGGGTAGTTCTAACTATATTTAAAATTTTGGGCCCAAGTGGTGTGGGTCAGTGGTTGAGCGTCAACCTATGAACCAGGAGGTCACGGTTCAATTCCTGGTCAGGGCACATGCCCAGGTTGCAGGCTCGATCCCCAGTGTGGGGTACGCAGGAGGCAGGTGATCAATGAGTCTCTCTCATCATTGATGTTTCTCTCTCTCTCTCTCCCTCTCCCTTCATCTCTGAAAAAAAAATATATATATATATATTTTTTTTAATTGGGAGAAGAACTGATTTGAACCACCCACACACCTTAACATTATATTTCCTCTCAGCGCCTTTCCCGAGGTGTACCATCATCAGTATACCTGTTATCAGGTAGAAGAAGAGCTTGAGAACTGTTGGTCTATACTCTACCTACTGCAAATCTATAAGAAAGATTGGAGCAGTTTCTAATGAAAAAGACATAGATGTGTACAAGATATTAACTTCAAGATAAGCCACACTTACTGGTGACCACTGTAGCCATTAAACTCTGAATGCCAACACTGATACATTGATGAAAGTGTATACTATTCAGCCTTAAATAAATTCTGCCATGTGTGACAACATAAATGGACTCAAAAGACATTACGCTAAGTGAAGTCAGTCAGTCACGGAAGTACAAATACTGCATGCTCCACTCGTTGAGATATTTAAAATAGTCAAATTCATAGAAGCAGAGAATAAAATGGTGAAATTTAGGACCTGGGGGAGGAGGAAGTGGGTTGTTGTTGTTCAATGGGTACAGAGTTAAAGATATACAAGATGAATGAATTTTAGAAATTTGCTGTACAACATTGTGCCTATAGTTAACAATAATAGTATGATGCACTTGTTAAGAGGGTAAATCTCATACTAAGTGTTTTTAACACACAAAAAAAACAAAGGGACAGAAAAACTCTTTAGGGGTTAAGAATAGGTTTTTACCTTAATTTTGGAAATGGTATTATGGTGCATACATAAGTCCAAACTCATCAGAATGTATACATTAGACGTGTAATTGTTTTTGTATATTACACATACCTTAATAAAGCTGAAGACAAAGAATAAACATCAAAATTAGATGACTTAGTTTTTCCTCCAACCAGTTATTTGTTTCTCATCAGAAAGTCTAGAAAATGGGCCACAATTCACAGGAGGGAGAGGAAATATCCTAAGAGTCTATTCTGATTCCAGTGATGCCCTGATTCACATTCAACACTTCTCTGCCCACCTGACCCCACAATGAATGAGACATCAAAATAAAATGCAGCTGTATCCCCCTAAGTCACCAAAAGGAATGTGGCTTATTATCACCCAAAGGGAGACATGTTGGGCTGTGCAACATGAGACACACATACATGATCTAAATGCATAAATCACATGACAGCTTTCTTTAAGGAAGATGAAGCAAGAAAGACACATAAGAGATAATCCAGGAAGAGCTGAAGTGAGGAATCCTAACCCATCAGGAAAAGGAAACAATGTTTTCCATCCATCTTGAAAAGGTCAGCCAGGAAAACAAACCTGGCTAATTTCCTAATCACCTGTTAATTAGGACAAACAGGACAAGGAAAGAGCACAGCTTCTGATGACAGCAGCCCTGAGCAGGGTATAAAAGGGGACCTGGGGCAAGCAGACTTCCAAACCTTCCAACCCACCTTCCTGAAAACTCTCTCTGAACCTCCACCCTCTGACACCATGGTCAACTCCTGTTGTGGATCCGTCTGCTCTGACCAGGGCTGTGGCCAAGGCTGCTGCCAGACCACCTGTTGCAGGCCCTCTTGCTGTGGCTCCAGCTGTGGTTCCAGCTGCTGCAGGCCAACCTGCTGCATCTCTAGCTGCTGCCGCCCCACCTGCTGCCAGACCCCCTGCTGCCGCCCCAGCTGCTGTGTGTCCAGCTGCTGCCGCCCCTCCTGCTGTGGCTCCAGCTGTGGCTCTAGCTGCTGCAGGCCTACCTGCTGCATCTCTACCTGCTGCCGCCCCACCTGCTGCCAGACCACCTGCTGCAGGACCACCTGCCGCCGCCCCTCTTGCTGTGGCTCCAGCTGCTGTGGCTCCAGCTGCTGCCCAACCACCTGCTGCCAGACCACCTGCTGCCGCCCCAGCTGCTGCCCAACCACCTGCTGCCAGACCACCTGCTGCCGCCCCACCTGCTGCCGCCCCAACTGCTGCCCAAGCACCTGCTGCCAGACCACCTGCTGCCGCCCCATCTGCTGCCAGACCACCTGCTGCCGCCCAGTCTGCTCTAGCGGTTCCTGCTGCTGATCATCGTGACCTGTGTCCACCTGGTTTTCATCAACCGACTCTTGATGTAGTCCAGATTGAACTGAGTCATGAGAGTCCAATTGTTAAAACTCAGTTTCAACTGATTCTTTAACTGATTGTGGCCTCCAAATATAATCCCCCCCCATATGTTACTCTCTCTCTCCCAAATGAATAGAAAGCTTGAATTTTCTCTGAAATTCTTCAATGACTATGTCATCGCAATTGATATATTTCTTCCTTACCACATTTTCTCATATGAAGATGTCCCCAAATCTTAAATAAATCTTCATTTCCCAGGCATACAAATACAAGAGTACTATGTCTCATTTTTCCTTCTTGAATCAGCATTCTTATCTGTCCGCTCTTCTGTTGTTCTCTGCAGAGCGCAGGCTATGGCAGGTGATTTCAGGATATCTAACTTTAGTCCCACATCATCCTCACTCTATTATAGGAAGATGGTTTCCTACAGCAAGCACCTGAAGCTCTCTGTCTGAGAACTTCCTGCGGATGAAGATGCAAGCTCTGGGCAGGCCACAAGTCAGAGTTAAGGTCTCTGGGAACATTGTTCAACTAGTGGACGAGAGTGTTTGGTCAATGCTGTAGCTTCTTTTTTCTCTAGTGAGGGCATGCTGTTCCAGTTTCCAGAGGGCTTCAGTGGGATTGCACCCCAGTTGTCTACAGGAGTAATCTCATTAAATCATTTATATTGTGGGTCAAGCATCCAGATGCAGCTCAGCTGACCCCTCCATTTCATCCACTTGCACAACTCTGCAATCGAGGTGTTAGCTGGCACTGGGTCCCATCTAAAGTCTTGACTGAGCAGGAATCCAGTTCCAAGTTCACTTACGTGGTTGGTGACAGGATTCAGTTCCTTGAGGGCCATTAGAGTCAGAGCCGCAGTTCCCTCTGGTTGTCAGTAGAGACTGTTCTCAGTGCTTTGCCACATCTCTCCCACCGGCCGCTTACTTCCTTCAGAGCCAGTGAGGGAGAGAAATCTGGCTCGTCACCATCTTTTGTCACTTAGTCACTTGATGTTGATTAGAAGCAATTTTCTCACAAGGAGGGAAATATGTAAGACCATGATACACCAAGAGGTAGAAATCACTGGGCCACCTAAGGGGCTGCCTATCATAACTCTTACATAATACTGAGTGAGAGAATAAAAACACACAATACATATATGAAGATTCCACTTATATAAAATTCAAATACATGTAGAACTAAACTATATTGCTTAGGATGCATACTTAGGTGGTAAAACTGTAAAGCACATCAGTGAAAAGATTATTTTAAGAATCAGGACAGTAAGAATCAGGGGGGAAGGAGAGCAATGTGGTCAAGAGAAGACACATCCAGGGCCCTCTTGGTGACATCAATGTCCTATTTCTTGACCTGGGTGTTGGGACAGATAGATGCTTGCTTCATAATTATTTATTATATTATACTTGTATGTTTTATACACTTTTCAGTATACAGAAGTCCCCCCGTGAATCTGAGGTTTTGCTTTCTGTAGTTTTAGTTACCCACAGTCACCCATGGTCTGAAAATAGTAAATGGGAAATTAAAAAAACAAACAATTCATAGTTTTAAATTGCACGCCATTCTGAGCAGCCATGGTGAAATCTTGTGCTGTCTTGTTCCATCCCACCCAGGTTGTGAATCATCCCTTTGTGCAGTAAATCTGTACTGTACATGCTGCGCACCGTCAGTCACTTAGCAGTTGTCTCAATGGTCAGATCAACTCTCTTGGTGTTGCAGTGCTTGTGTTCCTTATTTACTGCTGCTGGTCATCGTGACCTGTGCCCCAAAGTGTAAGAATGGTGACGCTGGTAATTCAAATATGCCAAAGAGAAGCCCTAAAGTGCTCCTTTTAAGAGAAAGTTCTTAATAAGAAAGTATTTTTTTAAAAGCATATGCTGAGGCTGCTAATTTCTACAGTAAGAATGGATCTTCTGGCCTAGCCAGTTTGCTCAATGGATAGGTCACCCCTAACTGGCCAGCTCACTGAAGGGTCCCGGGTTCAATTCTGGTCAAGGGCACCTTCCTGTCTAGGGCACATGCCCAGGTTGTGGGCTCAATCTCCAGGAGGGGACGTACAGGAGGCAGCCAATCAATGATTCTCTCTCATCATTGATGTTTCTATCTCCCTCCCCCACTCCCTTCCTCTCTGAAATTCATAAAAATATTTTTTTAAAAAAAGAATTGATCTCCTATCCATAAATTGTGATGAAGAAAAAAGAAATTTGTATTAATTGGTTGAGAGACCACATGCACATAACTTTTATTACAGCACTAGAGGCCTGGTGCATGAAATTCGTGCATGGTTGGGGGGGGTCCTCTCAGCCCAGCCCGCACCCTCTCCAATCAGGGATCCCCTGGGGGACATCCTTCTTACAATCCTGGACCGCTGGCTCCTAGTCGCTCACCTGCTGGCCTGCCTGGTCACCCCTAACTTTCCACCCTGCCAGCCTGATCGCCCCTCACTGCCTCTACGTGCCAACCTGATTGGCCCTAACTTCCCCCCCTGCCGGCCTGGTCACCCCTAACTGCCCCCCCGCTGCCAGCCAGGTTGCCCCAACTGCCCCCTCCCTGCTGGCCCAGTCACCCCCATCTGCCCCCCGCTGCCAGCCAGGTCGCCCCAACTGCCCCCTCCCTGATGGCCTGGTCACCCCTTACTGCCCCCCATGCCAGCCTGGTTGCCCCCAACTGCCCCCCCCCGCCAGCCTAATCGCCCCCAACTTCCCCCCCTGCCAACCTGGTTGCTTCTTACTGCACCCCCTGCCAGCCTGGTCACCCCCAAATGCCCCTCTCTGCCAGCCTGGTCACCCCCTAACTGTCTCCCCTGCCAGCCTGGTCTCCCCCAACTACCCCTCCTGCTGGTCTGGTCACCCCCAACTTCCAGCCCCTGTCGGCCTGATCGCCCCATGCAGCCTGCTGTTCAGTCGTTTGGTCGTCCCTCACTAACCCCCCTGCCAGCCTGGTTGCAGTCAGCCATCTTTGTTAGGGTGTGAGGGTCAATAGGCATATTACCCCTCTATTATATAGCAGTGATGGCGAACCTATGACATGCGTGTCAGAGGTGACACGCGAACTCATTTTTTTGGTCGATTTTTCTTTGTTAAATGGCATTTAAATATATAAAATAAATATCAAAAATATAAGTCTTTGTTTTACTATGGTTGCAAATATCAAAAAATTTCTATATGTGACAAGGCACCAGAGTTAAGTTAGGCTTTTTCAAAATGCTGACACGCCGAGCTCAAAAGGTTCGCCATCACTGTTATATAGGGTAGTCTTATAACTGTTCTATTTTATTATTAGCTATGTTTGTTTATCTCTTACTGTGCCAAATATATAAATTAAACTTTAACAAAGAGACCAGCTGGAGAGAGATACTGCAAACATATATGCCAGCAAAGTAACAACGTAATGAACTGTGGGATGTTGTAGTAACCAGAGCCGTGTAGATAAATTGTCTGCCACAGTTTAGGATACAGAACATGATCCAAAGTTTGAAACACCTAAGGAAACCCATTCCAGTGGCATAGAGGCCACCAACATCACACACATACAGAGGTCCCCTTCCTCATTGCTCACAAATGACCCAGAGGGGTCATTTTTCTCTTGTCCCATGCCTGCCTGACGCCACACTATGCGGATGGAATTTCCTCCACATTAGTCACTGGAAGAAATGCACAACCAGGAACATGTCTGCCCAGATCCCATCCTGAGGGGATACCGAGGGGAGAGTAAGGAAGGTAATCCCAAAAGCTAAATGGAGGAGAGTGTGGTCTAGAAGATGCCCACAGGTATGACTCAGAGGAAAAGCAAATCAGACAGCACTTAGCATATCTGGAAAGGAAAATGTTGTTTCCAATAAGTTTAAACCATTAGACAGATAAGCATTAATGTGTAATCTGATAATTACTCAAACATTAGGTAAATAAAAACAAGGAAACATGTGGACAGCTCACCCTGTTCAGACAGTATATAAGAGGCCTTGCCACAAGGACACCCCCAAACTCAAGAACCTCACTCTCCTGGAAACCCACCCAGAACCTCCACCCTCCAACACCATGTCCTGTTGTGGCTCCGTCTGCTCTGACCAGGGCTGTGGCCAAGGCTGCTGCCAGACCAGCTGCTGCCGCCCCAGCTGCTGTGGCTCCAGCTGCTGCCGCCCTTCCTGTTGCATCTCCAGCTGCTGCCGCCCCTCCTGTTGCATCTCCAGCTGCTGCCGCCCCTCCTGCTGTGGTTCTAGCTGCTGTGGCTCTAGCTGCTGCCGCCCCTCTTGCTGTGGTTCTAGCTGCTGTGGCTCCAGCTGCTGCCGCCCCTCCTGCTGCATCTCCAGCTGCTGCCGCCCCTCTTGCTGTGGTTCTAGCTGCTGTGGCTCTAGCTGCTGCCGCCCCTCCTGCTGCATCTCCAGCTGCTGCCGTCCCTCTTGCTGTGGCTCCAGCTGCTGTGGCTCCAGCTGCTGCCGGCCCTCCTGCTGCCCCTGCTGCTGCCTCCGCCCAGTCTGTGGCCAGGTCTCCTGCCCCACCAATTGCTATCGCCCCACCTGTGTCATCTCCACCTGCCCCCGCCCCATGTGCTGTGCCATCCCTGACTGCTGAATCTTTGCCTATAATCTGTCACACTATGGATATCCTCACGAGTCACCTAAAATGTGTTGAGCCAGCCAGTGACTGGGGAATGAACGCTTAGCTTCCAACTCTTCTTCTGATTTGGCATTCAGAGTTGGTGTTCAATTTCAGGAAATGATAAATGAAAACACACTTGTCAAATGGTTTTAACCGAGGCCCAGATGCATCTATTTTTGAACCAACACTGTCTCGTCCGAAGTATATACTGTATGTGATGATCTCATATAACATTGTCTCCATATGTTCTTAATAAACAGCCATTTTCCCTGATATCGAAATCTCCTGATTTGTTAATTTGATGTGTATGTGTGTGTGTACATGTGTGTCTTTATGACTTCACAGTAAGAAATGTTGCATGAAATGCAGGGCAGTAAGTTTGGGAGCAGTTACTTATCTTGGCATCAAGATTCCACTAGGCATTCCTTGCATGACACAGGCAAAGTTACTTAATATCTTTAAGCCTCAGTTTTTTTCTCTGTGAAATGGGGGTAATACGTTATGCTCTTCAAAGGTTCAAAGACATAATCCATGTAATAAATACACTTAGCACAGAGGTGAGGAGCATGATGTAAGCTCTCAGTAAATACCATTTTTATTGTTACTATTATTGAAACACAACCCTGGTTGAGAATATTACCTTAGTATCATGTTCTCTTTGACAGAACAACAAAGAAAGTTTGTATAACAGTTTCACTGACCTCTAGAACTCTAAGTATTGGCATATGTCTCAAATGTCCCTTAAAAACTCCAGTGAACTGAACATCATACAGACATCTAAATTTCATTGGACTACATTTCTACTTGCAGTATGTCCCATTACTGGTTGTGTTAATAAATTTGGGTGTTTCACTTAGCTGGAGTACTTCTTCCTCCCTCCCTCTACCCCTTCCTCATTTTCTCTTTAAATAATAAACTTTATCTCAGAATACTAAGTGTACCTTCTAAATATAGCTTTCTGGAAGTGTATTAAAGTCCATGGCAACTTCTCCATAAAAATTTTAAAACTTTTAAAAGTATTTTTTATTGATATTTATTTATTTATTTATTTTAGAGAGAAAGAGAGAGAGAGAGAGAGAGAGAGAGCGCGCTAGAAAACATCAATTGAGAGAGAATCATTGATCGGCTGCCTCCTGCACGGCCCTACTGGGGATCGAGCCCACAACCCAGGCCCACACCCTGACCGGAAATTGAATCCCAGTGACCTCTTGATTCAGGGGTCGATGCTCAACCACTGAGCCACACAGCCTGTGCTTTTAAAACTGTTTATTAATAGATGTGCAAGCCCAGCTGAAGTGGCTCAGTTGGTTGAGCTGCTGTCCCATGAACCAAAGGGTTGCCTGTTCATTTCCCAATCAGGGCACATACCCGGGTTGCAGGTTTGATGAGGGGGTAGTTGATTGATGTTTCTCTCTCATATCTATGTTTCTCTCTCTCGCTCTTGCTCTCTCCATTCCTTTCTCTAAGCATGTCCTAAAATTTTAGTATTTTAAAACGGAAACTCCTTCATGATTTTAGCCTCTCACGTTACTGAAGTTTCCTATCTTCCTGATGGTTTTACTCTCCTGTTTTCGGCTTTTGTCACCTTGCTTGGTCTTACGTAAGAGTACATGTGCAGGATATTTCTTTGAGACTCAGTTTTCTTGTCAACAAAACTCAGGTGAGAATGATCCTCCTTAGCTGCAAAAACATCTCACAATATATATACAATAATATCATTTTTATCCTATATAATAAAGAGCTAATATGCTACTTAGACCGAACAGCAGAAGGACCGTCCGGATGAAGCAGGGGCTGCGAGGGCCAAGCCCCTTGCACGAATTTTGTGCATCAGGCCTCTAGTACTAATATAAGGGTCTATAACTTTTGATTCATAATCTGAAGTACATTAAAAACATTTTAAATTCAAAATTTGTGTATATCAGAGTTTTATATATTAGCTGGGTTATATTTCCAAAAAATAAATGTAACTACGAGCTGATTGTTATTTCTAAAAAAAATTTTGAAAGTTCTAAGGTGTCAAGAAACAAGCCATATAGAGGTTGATATAAAACGGGCTTCACCCCAACATAAGTTGAGTGTTAGGGTGTTAGTGAGAGGGTTAGCTTGACACGCAGGCAGACAGGGCAGGGGTCCAGTGGGAAACAAAGGCAGGTGGAACACAGGCAGGGGCAGACACGGCAGTTTGAGCAAAGCCTAATCACAGGAACCAACCATGAAGAAAAATAAAACGTTTCTGGACTCAAAGTGGGAGACGTGTGAAACTAGGGAGGGTCTGCAACAAGAAGTTGAACTGACGCATAGAAACAGGGAAAGTGCAGGTCTGTTGCTGGGCAAGAATATTTGAGGGAATCAATCAGGTGATGACATGGATAGATACACATCAGGCCTGTAGCCAATATATACTCCTAGACCACAAAGCTTCATGGGAAACCCATTATTGGGCCCCCTCCCCATGCGGGAAGTCTGAATCTGCTTTTTAATAAATTTTCCACACTTTTGCTTGAATATTCTGGTCTGCAATTTAATTTGGCTTCATAGGACATTACCCCAGAGAAAGAAAAAAAAACCTTGGCTCCGCATCCTGGTTATCAGTATGAAGCCTCCAGAAAAACCCAGAAGAATGCTGTTCAGAGAGCATCTGGTTGGTGGACATTTAGAGCACCGTTTATTTATCCTTTAAAATTTTTAATTGTGGGCTTTTAGGAAGTAGGTGTCATAAATTATACACATAGCTAGTCACAAAACATATAAATAAATAGTTAAGTTAAGGTATCTTTTATAACTTTTCTGAAAAACCCTCCTTATATCTCCATTTTCAATTTGGCCCAATTCTCTTCTGATTCTTTCTTTGAAATAACTATTATACTCATTTTATCACCTGATGCTGTGAACACACCGCCCACCCTGCCCCACTTAAAACTTTTAAGCAACATCTCTCCCCAGAAATCCAAGTGTATTTTGGCATTTCTAAAGGCAGATAAAAAATTAAAATAAATCACATATAATAAATATATTATATTACTTCTTGCCTAAAGGCTTTTAATAGATCCTCACAATTTCTTGTGGAATTCAAGGCTACATACAATCCTTCCCACATTCTAGCAACCTCACCATATCTCTCACTCTTATTAAAATAGACCTTCTAGATATACCGCTCTCATCATCACGAGCCAGAGTTATGCCTACTCTCATTTGTTTCTCTTTTGAATCCTTTTTCTGTCTATATATGTAGATAACATGTTCTCAACATCAGTGTGTCATTTTTTATGGCCTAGACAAACTCTTCACTTACTAAAAAAATACTCCTTTATCAAAAATGTGTTCTATTTCAAGCCTGGGGGTAAAATACTGCTCTAATGGAGTTGACATTCTAGAGAGAGCTAGCTATATACATACATTTCTGGCAGAGAATGCTATAGAACCCACACATACACAAGCACAACAGAAGGTCAATGAAGGAAGAACTTTGCTCTGCATTGGCCAAGAAAGACAATGGAGGAAGATGGCATTTGAACTTCCCAATAAAAGATAACTAGGAGGATGCTGAGCTCACAAGAGACTTTGCAGGAAGAGGGAATATCATGAGGGTAATTTGTTCTTTCCTCGAATTAGTTTTTTCCTGAATGCCTGCGGCACTGAAGAAGACCTCTTATTATGACTATAATCATATAGGCATTGGTTACAAAACCATTTATGGATGTAATTTCTGTGTACATGCATGTATAATGATGAATATGGCATTTATATTCTTCTTAATTTATCTAAGAAAATCTTAAATATAAGTGATACTATAAAAACTACTAGATTTTTAGGTCAGCATGTTTTAAAAAGATTTTAAGAAAACGTCCATAAAGCATAACCATGACATATCATGATATTTTGAAAGGCCGATAAAAAAAATTTTGTCCCAATTACTCTACCCCACCTGAGAGTAGATTTATGAAGATCAAAAGTGATCAATACCAGATGACTCTTTGCTATTTAAAAACACTGAGTCACTGCTAACTGTTTCAAAGTGCATCAGGGTGATGAAAAATAACACAGCTTGGAATGTCCTAGTAATTTTATTAGCTCCATGACACCCAGAAAACACAATGAATCATAAGTTTCCTTATTTCTCAAACTCAAAAAAATGAGCTTACTTCCTTCTTTCCTATCAGCATTCCATCTGATCGAAACATAACATTTTCCACCAGAAAACCTAGCCCCATCAGAAGCGCTCCCACAATTATGTCAAGGCGAGGAACAGACAAGAGATAGTGGCCCACCTGTGTCACATGATACCCAGGGAGTGAAATCTTATGACACTGCAAACAAGGGAAAAACACAAAAGGTGATTCATGTGGGAACACTGGGGAACTTGATAAGAGGGAAATAACTGTGTTCTATATAATGAAAGCTTTTACTAGAAAAGTGCAATGATATAATTTACTAAATGCATTTGTAGTCATATAAACAAAAACAAGGAAATAGTATATTCATAATCACAGAAGTCCCTCAGCTGGGTATAAAAGGGGACATGTGGTAAGAAGACATCCAAACTCAAGAACCTCACTCTCCTGGAAACCCACCCAGAACCTCCACCCTCCAACACCATGTCCTGTTGTGGCTCCGTCTGCTCTGACCAGGGCTGTGGCCAAGGCTGCTGCCAGACCAGCTGCTGCCGCCCCAGCTGCTGCATTTCTAGCTGCTGCCGCCCCTCTTGCTGTGGCTCTAGCTGCTGTGGCTCCAGCTGCTGTCGTCCTTCCTGTTGCATCTCCAGCTGCTGCCGCCCCTCTTGCTGTGGCTCTAGCTGCTGTGGCTCCAGCTGCTGTCGTCCTTCCTGTTGCATCTCCAGCTGCTGCCGCCCCTCTTGCTGTGGTTCTAGCTGCTGTGGTTCCAGCTGCTGCCGCCCCTCCTGCTGCATCTCCAGCTGCTGCCGCCCCTCTTGCTGTGGCTCCAGCTGCTGTGGCTCCAGCTGCTGTGGCTCC